TTCGTGATATATCCTCCCGATTTTAATAATTAATTAATTAATTAAATTTTATTTTAATAAATTAATTTAATCTAATAATAAATTAAATAAATAATAAAATAAATAAAATAAAATTAAATAAATAAATGAATTGTGAATATACCTTACGCGTCACCATCTCCCACAACACTATCCCATAGCACCAAATATCCGCTGATGTAGCAAATCCATCTTCCCGCTTTATTACTTCCGGGCTGAAACGTTATAAACGCGTTTGATGACAGCTGCCCGCCTGCCTGCCAATCCAGGTAATCCAGGTAAATAAATAAATAAACAAAGAAATAGATAAGCCACCACCACCACCAGCAGCAACGTCATAAACGCGTTTACGTTTGATGACAGCCGTCTACCTGCCTGCCAATCTAGGTAATCCAGGTAAATAAACAAGTAAACAAACTAATAAATAAGCCACCACCACCACCAGCACTTACTCACCTCATCCACGGGATTGTCCCACTAAACGGATTATCCATCTTCTCATCCCGAGCACACGCAAAACCGCACAATTTGCACACCTTCTCTTTACCATACAACAAAACAACCAACGACTTCAAATTGTGGTGAATTACTCTTTCGGGTGCCTCGTAGTGCAAATACCTGACTGCTGCGGCAATCTGAACACATCAACACATCAAAATATTCCCTCCCAGTGCTCCACCACCACAAAACACATTCAGCGATCAGCAAATCCCCCCCCTCCTGAATTCTTTTTTTTGCTTTTTTTTCTAAAATATCTCAAAATCCCCCCCCTTCAGCTAAAACATCTCAAAATCCCCCTCCCCTTTCAGTTAAAACATCTCAAAATCCCCCCCCACATACAATGGCGTTCCAAACCAACATCACTCCAATCACTCACAAACAAATAAATTTCCGACCTCACTCACTAAATCCATCAACTTTTCACCTAATCGTTGTATATCAAACATTGAAATTTCTATGATCAATAAAAATTCCGTCAGCTGTGACATTCTACGAGAATCAATAAATAAATTCAGCTGAATGCATTTGAAATTTTAAAAAAAGGTATGTTTTGAATTCAAGAAAGGAAACGCATTCGAGTGATTCCAGTAAAATGAAACGACCTGCAATGCCCAGCGGACGATTTGTTTGAATTCGGGATCGGGATTGTCCGGATTTTTGAGGAGATTATAGAGTGAACCGCCATCGGCAAAATCTTAATATTGATAATATTATCCACCAAACTTTAGCGATACTCATCACTCTCGGCTTAAATATTACAAATTAGCGCAGAATACTGCCGTAATAATAGGCTACTAGGCATACGAAAGCAGAAAACACAATAAAATCATCGGATGCACAATTAATTCTGGCACTTTTTTACTTTGGGAGGGTCGCACGCGAGCAAGCTCGCGCATGCCACGCCTACTGCGCATGGCCTCAGCCTAAGGTGACCTCAGCCTCATCTAAGCGTAGCCTCAGATCGCTCGATGCTACAGCAGAGGCTAGCAAGCGAACTCAGGCTTAGACTTAGGCTGAGACTACGCTTGGGCT